GGGTGATGGCTACGGTGGTTACGTTCTTGGAGCTGTGTGAGGATGGCAGGGGCTGGTAAAGGAGAGGGAGAGGGAGGGCATTTCTGACAAATTACACTCATAGTCAACACTCACTAAAAATGACCAAAAGTCAAACTGGGAACATATAAACCGGACGGAGGGAGTATAATCCTAAGAGATGCGAACAAAAATAAGAGTTTCATTCTCCCATAGTTAAATGACACGTAACTAATATATTTATTTTAGTCCAGTAATAAAATGACATTTATCCAATATAGAGCCACTTGGCATCTAAAAGAGATACACCCATTGAAGATTATAGATGCTAGAACGAGGTGTTTAGGGCCTATTCTTGAACATTTCTACTTGGATCTTCTTAGGTCAAACTTTTTTTTTATTTCATTACAAATTTTCGTTAATTATTTTTAAAAAAGCATAATCGTGTTATCTCTTGTTTTATAGAACATTAATTTTAATAAATAAATTTATTTTTATATTTTGTACTATTATTTAAATAGAACATCATCATCTGGAGAAAATTTAAGCTCTTATGACACAAGAGTATATTTTTGTACATCACATGATGTAAGCTATCACACTGGCATAAAACAAAAATGTACACTTGTGAAATATAATTTGAAATAAAGCTTTTGGTGTAAATGTAGCTTAATTCATCTATATACTGTTATTTTGTTCACAAATATAACTATGTAGTTATATTTATAAAAAAAATATTGTTTGCTCTATCAAATATCAACGAGTTGAGCTATGCTACTCGGCCAACATAGCCCTTTAAAAGAAAAACAAGAACTCAATCTTCTAGACCTCCAAGCTAAGGTCCTAGAACCAGTCAAATTAATTTAGAAAAACTAAATGAAATTGTAATCTCAAACAAATTCAAACCATGTGAAATTGTATGTGAAATTTTTTTGCTGACAACATAACCTTTCAAAAGAGGTGGAGGGGTGGGGGTAGGGAGTGGGTGAACCAATAGCCATAGCCCATAGATCCTCCATTGTTGTTGGGAAACTAAGTCCTTTTTTGACCTCTAAAAGTCTTCAAAAACAATAACCTAACTACTACCAAACAAAAAAGAAAAAAAAAGAAAGAAACCCATTCTTCCTAGTACTATAAATACCCACCATGTACCACAACTCTAGAATTAACATAAACAAATGGAGACCCAAAAGTCTTTAAACCATTTGTCATCCAACAATAATGCATCATTCTTTCTTGTCACAATACTACTAACTCTGTTGGCTTCTTCTTTAGCAAATGCAGATGTTTACCATCAACAATTTGTTGTAAGTCATGCATATATCCTTCATTATATTATATATTTATTGCCTTTAATTAGTTTTTTAATGTTATTATTTTAAAAATGGTGTTTTATCAAGCTAAGTACACTTGTAATTTCTTGTTTTTGTTCTTGGCTTGAATATATAGGTCCAAGAAACAAAGATAACGAGGCTTTGCAAGACCAAAACCATAATCACAGTTAACGGGCAGTTCCCCGGCCCGACGATTGCCGTTAGAAATGGAGACGACGTCGTTGTGAGCGTCGTGAACCGAGCTCGTTACAACATCACCATCCACTGGTAATTCGGGCGTCAAGTTGAACCAATTATAGTGCAGTTTTTGACACATATATATGTCCAAATAACTTGTGAATTCTATAGTCAATAATATTACTGGCATCCTCTATAATCAATTCAGTCAAAAGTTCAAACTTGTAAACTCTGGTGATTTTGACATATTTTTTTCTCAGGCATGGATTGCGCCAGATGCGAACACCGTGGGCAGACGGGCCAGAATACGTGACGCAATGCCCGATAATGCCGGGTGGGACCTACACATACAGGTTCAAGATCGAAAAACAGGAGGGCACGTTTTGGTGGCACGCTCATAGCAGGTGGCTGAGATCCACCGTCTACGGCGCATTTATAATCCACCCGAAACCGGGTTCCCATTTACCTTTCGCCAAACCAAAGAAGGACATCCCTATACTTCTAGGTACACATACCCTTCCTTCAATCCCAAAATTCACTCACCACCATTTGTTTTAGATATTTTTACTATGACTTTATCAATTTCTTTTTTGACAATGGGGCAGGGGAATGGTGGAAGGGAGATGTGATTGCAATCCAGAGACAGGCACTTTCCAGTGGTGGAGCTCCTAACATTTCAGATGCTTATACAATCAATGGCCAACCTGGTGACCTTTACAAATGTTCTAGCCCAGGTAATAAAATACATGGGTGTCACATATTATGACACACTGTCATCATTTGAGGGCACTATATATGATGCTACTCCCTCCGTCCCAATTTATTTGCAACACTTCGAACGACGTGCAAAACATCATCTCTTTTAAAATCACTTTAATTTCAAATAGTATATGAAAAGCTCTACAAAACAAGATGCGACAAGAATATTTTATTTTATCAAATGGTCAACCAAAACGAGTAAACAAACAAAAGTTATCGAGAGGCCAGAATAGTAAATGTGGCATTCTTTCTGGGACGGAGGAAGTATGTTCGAGCTTGAAATGACAGTCTAATCCCCCATGTTGCCCCTTGAATAATGTCGAAATGCTACAATTGAAAAATATCAAAATGATACAATACAATCATAACATTTTGGAGTTTTCCAAGGCTTGTGGGCAACATGAGAGTTTATCGAGGGAGGGGGGTCAGGAGGGGTAAAAACCGTAAAAATCACCGGGCTTCGATGTCATTATATGACACTCAAAAGCAGTATCAAAAGAATTGTGGGATAAATACTTTAGAGTATGTCCTATATTTTTTATTTTCATACTTTTTTGTCCCTTAAAGATGTTCCCGTTTTGATTTTTATACTCCCTCCGTCCACAAATAAACTTTACGTTCACTATTTACAGGGTCAAACTTTATTCACTTTGTTGGCCTATTTTCGTCACCCATTTAATAAAATAATATAGTAATGTCATCTCTAGTTTTGTAGATCTTTTGATATAGTTTTTTAATATGTAATTTTTATTTTTCAATTCTACACCATTTTTCATATAAAATGATTTGAAAATAACTTCAGTCAAATTAAACATCGTAACGCGTAATGTAAAATTTATTTGTGGACGGAGGGAGTATAATTTAAAGGAAGAAAGTAGGATGTGATGGATATTATTAGTAAAAAGGTATGATGTGATTGATAAGTTAAAAATTAATAGGGGAAAAAGTAGTTTTTTAGTAGAAAATGGAAGGATTTTGTGGGACAAGAAAGGAAAAGAAAGGGAAAAAAGTTTTTGGACACATGATTTTTTTCATTTGTTTTTTCTTTGAAGATGGTAAAAAGTCAAAAAGTATATTATAAGAGAGACTAAAAAATGTATTTTGCCACTTCTTGGCTGGTTTTATGTATACTTTAGTATGAAAGATTGAATGTTCTTGGGCTTCTTGGAGTGTATATGTTGGACTTGACTTGAACCGAACATATAGTATATTTGCATGAAGAAACTATACAACAACATGTTTGGCTGAATTTTTCATGCAGATACTGTGAAACTGAGTGTGGGCCACGGGGAAACAATCCTCCTCCGAGTCATCAACGCTGCACTCAATCAACAACTCTTCTTCTCCGTCGCCGGCCACAAGCTCAAGGTGGTCGGCGCCGACGGGGCTTACAACAAGCCCTTCACCACCGGCGCGATCATGGTGGGACCTGGCCAGACGACGAACGTTCTCCTCAAGGCCAACCGCCCGCCGGGGCGGTACTACATGGCCGCGCGCGCGTACGTGACGGCCCAGAACGCCCCGTTCGACAACACGACCACGACCGCCGTCATCGAGTACACGGATCTCAATCGCGGCAGCGCGAGCTCGAAGCCGCTCTCACCTGAACTCCCCCCCTTCAATGACACCGCCACCGCCGCCGCGTTCGCGCGGGGGCTGAGGAGTTTGCCGTCGAGTGACTACCCGAGAGTCTTCGCCCGCGCGGACGAGAAGTTGTTTTTCACGGTGGGGTTGGGCCTCGTGAACTGCACCCCGGGGCCCACGTGTCGGGGGCCGAACAGCAACACGCGGTTCGCCGCGAGCATGAACAACGTGTCGTTCGTGTTTCCCAACGCGACATCGTTGCTCCAGGCATACTACGACAACGTTCCGGGGATCTACACGCTGGACTTCCCGCGGGTCCCGCCTCGGCGGTTCGACTACACGGGCAATGTTCCCCGCGGGCTCTGGCAACCAGAGACCGGGACAAAGCTATACAAGTTGAAGTTTGGGACTAGGGTGGAGATCGTGTTGCAAGACACGAGCATCGTCTCGAAGGAAGACCATCCGATCCATCTCCATGGGTACCATTTCTGGGTGGTCGGACAGGGTTTCGGAAACTTTAACCCTAAGACTGACCCGGCTAAGTTCAACCTCGTCGACCCGCCCATTAGGAACACGATCGACGTGCCCGTGGGTGGATGGGCTGTCATCCGGTTCTTCGCAGATAATCCCGGTAAGAGTCCAAGACACTCAACTTATGAATTTGATTCAAATTGTTAGTGTATATATGTATGCATTATAACTAGCTAGCTCATTCAATTATGAAGAACCTATTGTTTTGACCAAATGAATGCAGGGGTATGGCTGATGCACTGTCACATTGATTCTCATCTGGCATGGGGTTTGGCTATGGCATTCATCGTTGAAAATGGGGAAGGGGAAAACCAGACGGTGAAACCCCCGCCGCCGGATCTGCCACGTTGCTGAGCTTAAACCCGTCGACCGACCCGACTTCCCGTCTCAATTTCTCTATGATTGTTTTTAGTCCATAGATAGGACTATGGTTCCCATATTAATGTCTGTACTTATATTGCAACTTTGTATCCTTTCACAAGACATATATATAAATCAGCCAGCACCAGAAAGTATGAATAAATGATCTTTTTTATTTTTTTCTTTCACAAAAAACTTTCATAATGGAATCGACATGGTTAATAAGAAAGTTTTGCGTAAATGAGACAGACGAAAAAAGAAATATGAAACCTTTTATATGAGACACAAGGCTTGAGCTAAGAAAATCTTTGTTCAACAGAAAAGAACACAAATGTTTGTACATTGTGACAGTCTTAGCTACCATGGTTTCCTATTGCTAATCTACATACACAGAGACAGAGAGTGAGTGAGAAACGTTAACTAATAGCCAAACTACTTACATTACAGACACCATGAGAATCTGCCAACTAAAGCACTATAAGCACTCTCTCTCCCTCTCAGAATCTGCTGTTGCACTACCAACAAAGAAGAAGTGCCGCCTAGATCCGAATTCGCCACATAATCCCCTATGACCCCTAACTCGTGGTTTTCGCTCCAGTTCGTCAACCCCTGTAAGAGCACGGGGTTTATCCCCTGCTTCCTCCCAACTATCCACAGATCGTAATCGTCGCCCTCCTTCATCGCCTGAATCGTGGCGACCGTTTCTTCCCCGTTCCTCACCACTGCCTCCCTGTACACAACTTGCCTGTTTGCCTCGTTCTTCACCCAGAACCACGTCACCAGCCCATCATCCAGTTTCTTCTCCATCTCATTGTCCCCTTCGCCGTTGTGCGTGAGGAACCGGATTACGGTGAGAGAGATCTCCGGCCGGGAGGCCATCCGGTCAGCACACACGAGTGCCTCGCGTGAATCGGCTCCTCCAAGAAAAAGGAAGGCGAAATGGTAGTTTGAGATCCTCATGCTGTTTTGAGGGGCAAAACCTCTGTCGACGAGTAAGGCAACAGAGCAAGGGGCGTGGGATAATACACTGGAGTTCACCGACTGGTACCCATCGGAAACCACCACGTCTCCGCCACCTGAGCCCGCTCGGATCGGCAAGATGATGAGAGAAGTCTTCTTTGTGAGAGCCAGCTCACATATGTCCTGGTACATGCTTCTCTTTGGAGACACCGATGTGAAAGGATGGATCCGGATGTTTTCTCTACCCTCCTCGAAAAGCTTCAACGCGTTGCGGATTTGGATTTGAGCAAATGACTGTTTGGAGTTTTGTTGTTCGGGCGGGTCAGACTGGTGATCTATGAAAACCGGGGCAGCCCGGCCCACTAGGTCAATAAGGTGTATCGCGTACACTGAGAAAGGGCTGTTGACCGTTGGATTCGCGAGGTCCAGGAGGTTGAGTAGCCCTGGAACGTTCTCCTCCCCGTGAATGCAAGCTATGATTTTCAATTCAGCATTCAGAGGGGTGTGCTGAACGTTCCTTCTATTGTTAACCCTATAAGGCCTTGTTGGATCATAGAATATGCTGAGCAAAGGTGTGATTATGCCTGTCACCACCAGTGTCATCACCACCAGCATTGCATAGTATGGAGCCGTTATTATCTGCATCTCACAAGAACTTCAGAGTAAAACAAAGAGAAAAAACAAATGTATTTGCAGGAACCAAATGCATAATTATCAAGAGGCTAAAATAAGGTAAAGAAAATAAAAGTGAGATTGATTACCCTGACATCCATCCAGTGTATATACAGCAAAACTTCAATTTGACCTCTGAGGCTCAAGATGAGGCTAAGAGCCAGACCATCTCTTAATGGCATGTCTAAGAAACGAGAAGCCAAGAGAATGGAAAACAGTTTGGTTATATAACCAACTATACCAATTATGAAAACAGGTTGCAAAACGGACCAATGGCCACCTATAGAAGATATATCAGTGATCATCCCAACAGTCGCATATGAAAAGGGCATCAGAAGCTCCAAAACAAATGTCTCCGTCTTTTCCACTATAGTTGCTCCTAATGGAGGCCCGTCCGGAACTGCCAGTCCAAGCCATAATGGCCCATTGGCAAGGGATAACCCAAAAAAGTCACCAAAAAATCCGATAACCATGACTCCTAGCAATATGGCAATCACGTAAACCTGATCAACCGGTTTCCCTTCTGGTGTTATACGTACTATCCAAGACATGACATGTCGAAGGCCCAGGAAGATGAACACCATCATAAAGATTGTTGAAAGCGTGAACCATAAAGCAGCAAAACTCTTTACTTCGCCTTGTTTGGACGCATCAAATATTAATAAGAATTGGTTCCCAATCACGTCACTGACCACTGCTATAGACAAGGCTGTCCTTCCCATTTCTGAGCTAAGGAGATTGAACTCTTTGATAATGGGATAGATGACAGGAAATGCCGTGATTGCAAACTCGGAAGCAATTTCAAATATCGAAGAGGCTTTTGCAACCTCCTTTTCCATATACTTTCGTAGAGGAATTGCAGCAAAAATTACACACATGAAAGGGATGAAAACGATAAACGCGGCTGCATACCAATACTTTCTTCCTACCTTCTTTATAACAGAAAGATCGGTCTTCACCCCAGAAAGGAAGAGGAAATACATGAATCCCATAAGCCCTATGTTTCTCGTGACAAATTTAGCATTATCTGGGAATAGATGATCACGAAATTTCTTGCTGCGGCTAAGAACTGATGGACCTATAATTATACCTCCCTTAAAGCCGAACAAAAATAAAAAAAAGAGATCCATGAGTTACACTGCTATATGCAGTCATAGAATTAATTAATAACCTAATGGGGGCAACAACTTGTGGGGTGTTTGGGAACAAAGGAATTCTTATTCTTTCCCCCGTCAATACTCATATTAAAGAAACTCATTTGTTTGGTGAATTGGAATAAATTTATCTTTGGAAAAAATTATACTTTTAACCATTAGATTTTTCTCCCACAGCATCCCTTATGTTTTATTTTTCCTTCCAAGTTGGGAAGAAAGATAGTGTCCCCTGGACAACAACACCCAGTCACCCACTTCCTCTTGCCATGTGCAAGCTTGCACTTCATGTGCAATTGATCATTATCAAACAATAAATAATACAACAACCCAGCCTTAATCCCAATGGGAAGAATACTCCCAAAAAATTCATAAGTACACTGCTATATGCAATGACTGAAATAATTACGACCTAATGACCGTCCAATTCCAATGGAGCTAAGAGAGTCAGTGAGTCACTATTGACAATATTTTAGTTTCGGGCACATAACGGACTAAATCAATAAACTTTACCTGTTTCTTACTTTCTATGCATCTAGGGTCTAACAGAAATAGACTCTGTTATTTTTGAAATGATAAGACTGCACACTTCTTGACCCTAGACCGCAACAGTGTTAAGATTATACCGGGTTACTCTTGTTGTTGGGGATATAAATTTGTGGGTTGTTCTGCAAACATGAATTCTTACTCTTTTCCCAATCAATTTTAGCATTCAAGAAATTATTATTTCTGATACATTAGAAAGCTTGCATTCAATAAATACACCTTAAATTTTCCATGTGAAAGCTTGCACTTCATGGGATATGTGGTCATTATCAATCAATGGAATAATACTCCAGAACAATTTCATTTGATCATAGCTCAATGCAATTCTACCAAGCAAACATTGATTGGAGAATTCCGGGAAAGGAACTCACAATGATTTCAGAAACAATTCTGGGCTGGCGGAGCGGCTTGAGAAGAACACGGAGGAGCTGGGTGATGAGGATAATGAAAGAGATCTGCGCATAGATAAGAGGCATCGAGTGATCCAAAGGGCTCTCGCCGTAGAAGATGCTGCGGCCATGGCCTTTGCGCAATGGACGGCACACCAAAAGTCCATTCTTGATCAGCTCAGTTTCGTTTTGTCGTGCAAAAATTGCGTTCACCATTGCAATGGACTCCCCTGCCAGGCGTGGATGCACAATTCATCACCAGCTAGGGTTACAGATCGAGAAATTGAAGAAGAAGAAGAAGAAGAAGAAGAAGAAGAAGAAGAAAGGAGAGAAAACCCGAACGTGGTGATGAAACCCAAAACATAATCTGTATGATTCTCTTGAGGGTTGGATTGGATGAGCGCCGAAGAGCGAAATGCTCTGTTTTCCTGCGTTGCTTTTGTTTTTGACCGTTGGCTTCCATGATTTGTGGGACGCCATTGGCTTCAGCTTCTTCTTCGTCAGAGTTCAAAATCTTTTGAGCATTTGTATTTCAATTTGGGCAATGCTACCCCAATTGTACACCAAGCCAACACAGACACACACAGACACAAAATGTCTGTGCAACACAGACACTTTCAGACACTTTGTGTCTGTGTTGGCTTTGGTGTACACTTGGAGTACCCCATGTTGGTGTACCCCTAGCTTAATTCTTTCAATTTTGGTTACCTGAACAGCCCAACTGAACATTATGCCATTGCACTTGCAAGGCTATGTTTGGCCACAATTTTAACTTGAAAAATGCTAGTGGTACACCTTTTGGCCTCCACCCCTTTCATTACCACAAAAAAGGGCAAGATATTTTAAAAAAATTAAATAAATAAAAATGAGATAAAAATGAGTGATGGAGAAAGGGGTGCGGGACAAATGCTAGCCTCTTTTAACTTTGCTTAAACCGTAACAAGTTTTGCTTTTGTAAGGCATGTTTGGTTAGCGGAATTTAAAAGGAAGTAAAAAAATGGCACTGTAATAAAGTTTTAGAGCATGCTACATGTACCCCAAAATTTATACCTCATTTGTACACCAAAAGTATGCATCAACATTTTGATGGTTCACACTGACACAAAGTGTTGTGCGTTAACAAAAAATTACACTGACACAAAGTGTTGGTGCGTTAACAAAAATTAGCATTACACTAACACAAAATGTTGCTGCATCCTTGTGGTGTACAAAATGGGATATAAATCCTTGAGGTACACAAATAGCTTTATATTTTTTGTTCTGCTACTCCCTACTTGGCAACAAAGTTACTCCAATGTCACTAAGCCTTATTTGGATTTTGGCGGTTTGTATCGACTACTCTGAATGGTTGTTTAGTTTAGCAGGTATGACCGGCACGATGTGTTGGCTGATTGTTAAAAATATTTGGTAAAATTAGTTGTTTGAAAATAGCTGTTTCAAGATTCAAAAATCATACACACACACACACGATATTTGTTTTCATTTTTGTACATGTAAAAATTAAATCTTTAATATATGGAGTATTAAATTCCACTTTAATAAAATTCACAAGAAATTAATAATATACAAGTTTTTAATTATTTTTACTTTCAATTTTCTCATTTCATTTTTTAAATTTTGAATTATTTTTATGTTTAAATTTTTCTAACAGCCAAGTCCCAAAGCTACCCCCTTGGCTTTTCGAATCAAACAACCAAGTGAAAAAGTCATTAGCCAAACATTGATTTTAGTTGTTCGAGTAGTCATAAAGCCAACGTCAGTCAAAAATGTCAAAAGCTATCCGCAAAGCTGTTTCCAAACACAGCCTAACTTTTTGGAACATTTCTGGTACTCAATTTGAAAAATTAATAAGAATAAAATTTCATATGTTTTGTAAAATAGTTTTGACACGGTAAAATATTCACAATTTAGCAATCCATTTAGACGATCTTTATTTTTTTTGTTTGTGAATCAATCTTCCTCTATGTCTCTTATCTTTTTACATACTAGTATTTTTACCGTGCAATGCACGGGGTCGAACAAAATTTTTATTGGTTCTCAAACTTTTTTAATGCAATATTTTTTCCCAGAGTAAAGAAAATATATTTTCCTATGATTTTTAATACTATATACAAAAATTCCAAAGTAGAATAAATAATATTTGAGGAATTGAATGTGTATTCAACCAAGTTTTTTTAATACCAAACTTTTTGAAAGATTGTAGGGTATATAATTTTTTTGATATAGTTGCAAGGGTATCATTGTCATCTAGAACCAATATTTTTAATTGTGTTTTTGTCTTCACTCATGGAACCTTAACATAAAGCTAACCATGAGTAAATACCAACTTGGTTAAAAGTAATGCAAGAAATGACAATGTTGGACTTTGACTTTTGTTGATAGTCATTGCAAAATATAAGACTATTGAGATTTACCTTATAAATAACTTTAAGAGTAGTCATAGATCAGATGGTATCAATTTCATTTGGAGTATGTAAACTTTTTGCAGACTCGGTTTCTCAAAACCACAATAGACCAACAACAATCTTTCACATCTCTTCAAGGATTAATCGTGTACCATTACATAATCCATATATTTGGTCAATGTTTCTCAACATCAAAATCGTTAACCCATTTTTAAGATTATTTTGTAGTTTTGGATTCCCAAACATTTGATTTCATTTAAAATTTAATTGTTATTTAATTGTCATCAATAATTACATCTGAATCGGCCTGACATGAAAAATCAAAACTCAGGCACACCATTTCATATTAGGGAATGAGGGATATGACAAATTCATTTACCATTTCTACAACCTCAAGCATGGTCCAGTAGTGTCCTATCCTAAAAAATGAATAAATTTTCATACTCTCCAGTCTCCAATAAGTTCAATTAGGATGAGTGAAGTCCACTATACTCTTCACAAAATAACTTGTGTCTAGAATTAATAATTTATGCGGAATTTTAAGATCAGTTGTTTCATCAATCACTTGTCTAAGTTTTTCATCTCTAACTTTAATTATCCAATTAGAAAAAATTTGTGTGTCCCTGGGATAGAGGACGTAGAAGAATGTAATATCATATTCTTCGCTAACATATAAATTTTAAAATACGACCATAATTTTAAAGAATAGATGATAGCACTCACAATTTTTCTCTCTTGAAGTTTTGGGTAAAACAGGAAGAGTTTGCCAAAAATCACCTTGAGTACAACTATTTTCCCTTCGAGTCCTACTTTTTTCCCTCCGAATTCAACTATTTTCCCTCCAAATGGTTCATTTATAGAGTTTTTATTAGAGAAATTCATTACATCTCTCATTTTGTGATCCAGTACCTTAAAAATAAATCTATTCATCATACATGATCCATCCCATATTATTAGACTTACTTGTTGGATAGTTCTGCTTTCGGACTCTCTTGTTTGATGGCACATGTTATGCAATCGCTCAAAGAGATTGAGAATCTCAAGTGTAATGTCATTCACCCATGTCCTTCCCCCATGAAAAAGTAATGTTGCAATATCACTAGATGTGACATTCAAGACAATCTTATCATTTGACGTTAGAGAAATAAACATTTATTTCCATAAAAAAATATTTTTTCAGTTCCACTATAACCATACATAAAAAAGAAACCTCCTCTTTCAGGTGTCACAACTTCCATTATCTCATCGTATATATTGTACTGATATTCATTCATCGTAGATAAGTATCTCATAAGATCATATGCAAACTTTTCTTTTTCACTTTTATAATGCAAAATCATTTAATATTCTCGTCAATATACAAAATGTTTTATCAAAATACAAATAATTATAAATTTAAAATTATATTTCTCTTTGATGTGGTTGTAACTTGTAACTTAGTCTCGATCTTATTAGTCTCCATTCCGATTTAATATTTCCATTTGACTTTTCTTGGTCAAATTTTGTATACTTTAACCTCGTTATATAGAAAAAAAATCTCTTCATGTTTAGTAGCTAAATAATAAATTTTGGAGTTCCGATCAACAAAATTGGAAATCTGTTCTCGTAAGCTCCGCAAAGAATATAGAAAATAAATAATTCACCAAAAAATAATGCTATCAATTTCCTTTTTAAATAGATTACTCATGATGCCCTCCCTTAAACTTACCAAATGAAGTGTGAGTACATCATCAATTACACAATAGTTTTCACAATTTCACCTATCTACACTATAGAAGAAAAAAAGAAAGGTATGCAAAGAGGTTCCCAAGAAGTTGAAGGAAAGATGATTATTTTGTAAAATAAAAAAATATATATAAGTTAATATAAGTGTAGAAGGAAACTTTTGGTAGTTACTACTTTATAAATAGTACTCTGTATATATTTCCTAAACAAAACTAAAAAAAATCACTCAAATAGAAGTAAGACATAAATCTTATGCCCAGAATAAGAGTTCAATATTTTTATTTCCTAAATAAAGTTTACACAGTGACGTTGTGGCACTGTATAGTACCATTTCATAATGTTTTTAGCACTATATAATAAAATATTGGTATTGTAGTTAATATTTTGGAGATTAAAAATATGAAACTCATATTTTGGCACTTTCTCTCTATTCTAATCTTATTTTAGTTTTCCTTCCAAATAATTATAGTGGCACTTCGTAATCCGTATAGGTGGCGGATGATTTGTTAAAATGTTGCCATGTAGACTCACCACTTATTGTAATTCTATGAGTTTAACTCTTAAATTTAATATATAAAGATAAAGATTGGCCTCGATATATGAAAAACAATTTTGTTTATCTATAAATGCAATATCAATAATCTTTTTTAAAACGTTGTTTTGAAATATGAATTTTCATAAGATACGATAAGTATAAATATTGATATTAATGATCAAAATATTATATTGGAGAGCGTTAAAAGTTAAATGAGATGATTAAATCTACTTATACAATGAGGAGTTTTAACATGGTCATTTTTTTCAAGATATGTAGCAACCAAACCCATTCTTTTTGTTTAGCATAAGACCACTAACCTAAATATAAAATTAATAAAATTCATTCAGAGAAGTAGGTGCATCATTAATTATTTCATAAAAATGGATGAATCTAAGTCACTTTTTTATGCAAAAATATACTCCCTCCGTCCCTCGTAGATCTTCTCATTAACCCTTTTTATTTGTCCATCATAGATCTTCTCATTACCTTTTTAACAATTAAAATATATACCACAACTATCCCCACTTACTTTACTTATTACACCTCACCTACCTCATTTAATACACTCCACCCATTTTCATTAAGGATATTATTAGGGATGGCAACGGGTCGGGTTCGGGTCGGATAGCACTATACCCGAACCCGACCCGACTTTTAAAACCGAAACCCGAACCCGACCCGAAACCCGACTTTTTAAGCCAAAAATCCGACCCGACCCAAACCCGACATTTCAACCCGAAACTCGAACCCGACCCGAACCCGACTTTTAACCAATAAATAATTCGACGTACCCCAATAATTTTGAAAAGATTAAATCTAATTTTTTGTGTCTCTTTTTTTATGTCTCATTTTTTATTAATGGATTATAAAAATGATTATAAAAGGCATATTTGATATAGTAGCACTTTGTCAAGAGATTATACGGAGTGCTCATTATATCCATAGATAGACTTTTATGTAATAAAATATTCGGGTTTTAGTCGGGTTGAGTGCGGGTCGGGTCGGGTCGGGCAAAATTATAAATCCACACCCGACCCGACCCAATGTCGGGTTCGGGTAAAAAATTTCGGGTCGGGTTCGGATTATTTTATTTTCAGTTCGGGTTTGGATATTTTAGTAGTCGGTCGGGTCGGTTAAGCTTGGGTTCGGGTTGAATTGCCATCCCTAGATATTATGGTAAACTTTCACATTTTTTCAACTCTCTTTAAAACCACAAAAAGTCAAAATGAGAAGATCTTAAGGGGACGGAGGAGGTAATTCTAAATCCAAAAATAGAAAGTGTTCTTTACCCCCCCCCATATGTATATATGGTAAATAAATTAGTATGTTTAAATAATTCTAAAAACTTTATTCATTAACTGTCTCAGTTTGCTTTGTTGTCAAATGTTTGAATAATTATTTATATAAATATATAATGAATTGAAATATTAAAAATTAGACTATATTCTCAAAATAAAAAATATGTTTGATAAAAAATTTCATTGGTCAAACATATCATTCGAAAAATGAACTGGGTGTTAAAAACAATAGAGTTACTAATTCTTAAGATTAACTGCATGAAACTAAAAAGACAAATAATTTAGTCACTATGTTCAATCATTAAAAAATAAATAAAATAATGTCAAATTAGTATTCCGTATGTTGATTAAAATTACCAACTCATTAAAATAATAAATAGATAACAGATGATTTATTAAAAATGTCATATTAGCTCGTGACATGCCAATATCATGTAAGCCAGAGTCTCAAATTTTATAATAAAAGGAAGGATTAGTCAATAAATGTCATTAGCAATTAATTGAAAGTTTTTTATAATTAATATTTATAACCTCCAAATTATAATTACTTTACATATACCTCGTAAAAGTTTTTCATATGTGCAATAATTGGGAATGAATATTTGCTCTAATAATATGTTTTCATACTTTAAATTAAAATTGTCAAGTCACTTAAGTCATCAAATGTGGCTGATGATGTGTAAAAAAATTTTGCCAAGTAGCCTGCCACATGTCGAATTTCTGGGAGTTTAACTCCCAAATATTATATAATTATATATAAAGGATTTCATAATATTGATCTGGATTTAAATTAGATAAATCTTGCTCGGATAGATCCTTCTTGGATAATAGTGTTTGTGCGTGTATGTGAGACAAATATCATTTCTAGTGTTATTATAGAATGGCGTCCCAAAATTAATACGGAGTAACTATTAATATCGCAAAATAACACTAATAGGTGAAGGTTAGGATAAATCTAAAAGTCTTCTCGATTCGATTTAAAAAGAAAAATTAATTTATTAAGCAATTTTGGAAGAAATAAAATAAATAGTATATGTATAGTACTAAATTTTGAGTCAATGTATCATCTCAGTTAATTATTCTTGTCACAAATTGAATTAATAATTTGAATAATAATAATATTTCTATTACAAGTATTTCATTAACTTACTCTTTTTTAAGGTAACATCAATGTATTCTAAAAGTTTAACTTAATTAATTTTATATCCTAACAGACAAGACAAAAACTACTCCGTAATATCTAATAATTAATTTATCTTTCGACATAACTAATTAATTTAACAACTTTTAATAAAATGTTCTTTTATTCTATGCACTGTTAATATCTAGTATGGGTTAGGGCCAATATTAGGGTCTGGGCTAAATTTGGACCTATACTCTGTATCTTTAATTAAAGGTTACAATAAGGTTTCGTTTGGTACACATAATTTAAATTGTGGAATTGGGGACAACAATTCCAATTCTGCTATTTGGTACCACAAAAATATGTAGATTTGGAACTGGTAGTGCCAAAAATGAATTGGAATTGGAGAATTCAATTCCATCCAAATCAATTTCATAGAATTTCAACTCACGATTCAATTCCAGACTCTATCAGTTCTGTGTATCAAACGGAGCCTAATAGTGCATTTAAAAATATAAAGCGTCTAAAAAAAATCGCCTGGGTTTTATAGCCACTCAAAAAGAGTGGCTACGGAAGCCACTCGGCCAATTGGGATACCCACGGTATGGTGCTCCCTTCGCAAAATTGATAGTTCCTACCCACCTAACTCTCGGTAAACCCCCACCCAGTCCAGATCTCAACTCATCCCCCAATCACGTCAATTGCGGGGTGCAAGTTTAGTTGACTTTTGGAGTGAATTTCAAACTTAGCCAAGGATTGCACATGCATCTTCTTAAAAAAACTGGTTTTGAGTCTTGGCTTTGGTCCTGTCAAATTTATAAATATTTTTTTATTTGAGATTACATGAAGAAAAGTGAAGAAAAGACAGTTAAAAAAGAAAAAAAAAGAAAAAGCCAGAAAAACATAAAGAAAAAAAAGACTGAATTTCCTTCCATTTGAAACAAAGAAAAGTATAATGTCAATAATATCAACATATAATATTAATAAAAGAAAACCCCCTAAATAGGAGTAAAACATATGTCATTTCCTCTAAATAGGAGTAATTAATTAAATAATAAAGAAAACCTTATAAATAGTATTGAATTTCTAATTAATCTCATCTCTCTGCTCCCTCTCCTCACAGCCACCCCATCATGCCTCTCTCTTCCCTCTCTCTCATTTTTGGCCACCACCCTCACCATTTTGAAGCGTTGGCTCCGTCAAATTCACCCCAAATGCAGTACATCACCATCGCCACACTCTTTGCAATGCCGCCGCACCTGTCACGAAGCATCCCCTGTAGATCTGTTGCGGAGCGCCGCCTCTATCTCTCCCCTCTTGCAGATTTATCGCACCGCCTATATCCATCAGAGCTGAGATTGCCATCAGTCGCGATGAATATGATTTTGATTTTTAATTAGCTTCTAAATGCTCGATAATTGAGATGCATCGTAGAAGTAAGAAATGCTTCCAACTAATTGCATTCATCTTTTTTTCTCCAAAAAATTGCATCTTCATTAGGCATTGATTTTGGTTTGGTTTTTTCTTTTCATTTTTGTATTTGATTGTTTTTCTTTTAATTTTTTTTGATTGTTTTTCTATTAGTTGTGTTTAAATTTTGCTCCCAATTTTAACAAAATTTGGTGATAGTAATAAGAAACTTGACATTGTATGTTAGAAATCTTGACGTTTCACTTTTTTTTGACATTTTATATTGGCATGTTTGGCATTACGCTAAAACATGTTTGACATTATGCAATGACATGTGTGTCAGTATGCATTATCATCTTTGACATTGTAGTTTTGGTTGGCATTGTATTGAAAATTTTTTCACTTGGCAGTGACACCATGGCACTATGGTGGCGACAATTCCTAATCCCAACGTTGCAGTAAATTATGAAATTAACAGTAGCAAATGGGGGCGATGGAGGTGGCATCCGCAACAAATGGGGATGAGAGCGGCAGATCGTGGTGGCGATAGTGCCGACCATGGCAGTGTTAGTGGCAGCAACAATGTAGATGGTGACCGCATTTAATAACGATGACAGCGTGAGATTGTGGCGATGGAGTGGCAATGACGACAGTAGCGGCGATGACGGCAGGGGTGACGACAATGACATGTGCGGCAAGGGCTGTAGCTAATTTAGGATTTTTTTAATTTATAAAATGTATTCCCTCCGTCCACCATAGATCTTCCCAGATACTATTCACAGGATCAAACTTCACTCACTTTGTTTTCTTATTTTTACTAGTCATTTCGTAAAATAATATAGTCTTGTCACCTCTAGTTTTGTACGGAGTAGAACTTTTCATGTAGTTTATTACTCCGTGCTATATAAATTTTATTTTAAAATTTTACTCCTATAATCAATTAAATTGAATTGAAAATAAAGTCGGTCAAGTCTCGTAACGCGTAATGGGAAGATTTTAGGTGGACGGAGGGAGTATTTAATTTCATATTTGCAATATGAATATAACTTCTATTTTTGTACGTGATCGATATTTTACTTCTATTTTACTCCTTAACTCTAAGCCATTAGATTAATTAAGTTAATTACTCTTATTTAGGAGAGTTTATGATTCAGCTCTTATTTTGAGGATATGTCATATATTTTACTACTACTTTGGTCCTTCTCCCTATTAATAACAATATGGAGTACCAATATGCCGTGCGTAATTGCCAGAACACAGTAGTCTTATTCTATAGTCTATTTTGATGCTTTTTTTATGTTTTACTCCTAGCCAGGTAAATTTCTTCAACCATGTCTTCTTACGTTTTTCTCTACAACAATCAAACAAAAGAGTTAATGAATAATAATATTCTCATCAATTTTTCCAACTAACGAAGCAAAACTCAAATTTTTGGTTTATTCAACTTTCTTTTCCTTGTTCTTTTTCCGTCCTAATTTTCTAAACCAAACATAGTGTAAAGGAATCTCGTATTTGTATATAGTAAAATCCGTATTACCTATAGTAATGTAGCATTCTGTTCTTGGAAGAATGGCAAAGCAGACCCCTTGCAGTGCTTTTAAAATAGGCAAAAACCCTTTGGAGCCTGAAATCGAATAAGAATTCTGCGCATCTCATTCTCTCTTATCATCATTGGATTGCAAGCTGATTCTCAATCACATTTCTCGCCTCTCTGCATAGCGCGTCTGGATCGCTCCCTTTTATGGGTTGATGAATCACAACTTTAACTGATCCGAAATTTACCCTGCCTTCCATTCCTGCTGGCATTATTTTTCCGGTTCCAACAAGAGTGATTGGAACAAGAGGAACTCCAGTTTTGGCAGCAACGCTGAATGCCCCTTTCTAGATGTCAAATAAAAATATGAGATCATAAGATGCAAAGTTGCAACAGTTTTCAAGTCAATGAGTTTTTCTAATTAAGACGCACACTTAATGTAACCACCAGATTTAATAAAGTATATGAAAATAGTAGGGAAAGTCTCAAGGTCCTCGACTATAAAAGAAACACGCGACTTTAACCCAAAATGATGTCAGTTTGTGACATTTTGTAGCATTTCATCCAAGTACATGTGGAGGAGGCATTTTGAAAACTCTAAACTAATTGAAGCAATTAGAAATTATTGACGACTTAAGCTCTTTTGGGGTTGGAAAAACATAGTGATGTTGAAAGTTAGGAGTTACAACCCAATGAACAGAGCCTTAATGCGGAAAAAATTCAAGGTAGGGAACTGAGAGTAGAAATATTATTATTATTATTGAAAGGAAAAAGGAATGCACTCTAATCCCTAAGATGGATGCTGATTGCTGATAACACACAAACCCTTCTTTTACTGATGTTCATTCAATCATCCATTTCTTTTACACATTGCATAGGTGAAGCATAGGCTTTACCTTGAAAACCCCCAGCTTTCCATCTTTGCTGCGAGTACCCTCTGGGAAGAAAAAAACAGATGCTCCCTTGTTGATTAGATTCATGCATCTTTTAAGACAATCCTTGATTCATTAAAAAAATGCCCAAATTCATTAAAAAAATGCCCAAATTAGAGTCCAAAAGACAAAAGGGAATAGATCAAGTGTTACAGATGGAGAGAATACAACTTACCATTTGGCTTTTGGTGTCCATACGCCTCAATGGAATAGTTCCCATCAGATACATGGCCCAGCCAATGATAGGAAAGAGAAAAATAGCAGTCTTGCTAATGAATTTGAAGCTTCTCCCAAGAGTAAGGAGAGTGTAAATATCCAAAAAGCTCTGGTGGTTAGATACAAATACAGCAGGTGCATCATTGGGAGGCAAATTTTCCAATCCCTTAATATCAATCTTGTAGAATGGAGAGACGGTTAATTTTGCCCAAACCATTGCAACAAGGTGATGAGCTTTTCTACGGTAACGATCAAATAAGAGTACAAAAGGATGTGCAGCAGCCATTAACACAAACAAAAATATGGCAGAGAAAGAGGTTGCAGCATAGAAGCCAATTCCTCTCATTTTTGAGCCCAGCCACAGCTCTATAAAAGAGAAGACCAGAAAACTAAATATCATCAAGTTGAATAGACAAAGAATGATAAGGGTTAAATGCCTCAAAATGCACCTGGAAATGAACGTACAACACCTGCGGAGTCAGTACCACCAAGTTCAGATTTGACAGCAATGCACCTTGGCAATCTATGGTGTTTGAACATTTTATAATTTAGAGACATTCTACTAAATTTAAATTTAGAAGAAGATGGCCAGGATCCACATATATGGATTCGTGTACTGAATTCAACTTCACCTGCAATAGTTTGCAAAAGAAAAAGATGAAAAAAGACAATAATGTAAAAGTACTCTGCTGTAGGGAATTGCACATAGTTGAAGCTATGATGTGAAATTGAAGTGAATATTTTTTTATACTCCATTGAAAATCTTGAGAATCTATAGATGACTTTGGTTTGCATTTCAAAAAGAAGTAATCATAGGCTAGGCTGGTTTCAAATACTCGTTTGGCAGAATCATGGGAGGTGATTTCTAAAATACAGAGCATCATCTTGGACACCAGAATAACATACCCCACTTTGGCCAAATTACAAACCAAACTGTACAAACCAAACGGACAAAAATGGTGATTGTAATTCTAAAATAAGCCAAATCACCCCCACCACAGATCCAAACCAAACACACCCATATATTTTGTAAAAAAATATGGTTTCCTGGAATAAAATAAAGAAAAAGTTGTGCACGTGTTTATCTCCTACCACTGGCCCTCCCAAGTTCAATCCCTACCAGTGGCCTTTCCAGTTACTGTAGAGCCACAGAGGTAAGGAGATGTTATACACTTATACCTTCTGGGCAAAACCACATTAGGAACTACTGGCATATTGGGGTTGACCAGAAGTCAGAGCAAAAAAATCAGATAAAAAAATCTAACATGTGCATCCTGATATAACTGCACAAAAGTGAAATAGATTGAAATGCTAAGAGAAGAGGAGTTAGTGAGTATAGTAGTATACCATGCTTCCAAGCAACAGAATCAATCTGTCTGACACCACTACGAATACTGGGAAGGTGGGGGAGAGAAACCCTGGTAAGGGGGATGCAAGTAGCCGGGTGGGGGGTAAGCATCCCTGCTGAAACTTTCTTGATAACCTAATAATAAAATCAAATGTGAGAAATCATTATATCCTAAATAGATCTATTGACTAAAAAACTGAGCAGTTAGAAGGAACACCAATGGGTGGCTGATAGGTTCGACCCACCTGTTGAACCCTATGATGGGTGATTCTCAAGTGAGTGTCCAGAAGGGCACTGTTGAATTATTGATTTAATGTGCCAGGCCTGGAAATGCAAAAATGAAAAATATAAAAGAGAAACAGGTAATGAGGACTGAGAAGCAGAGAACAAATTAGAAGAAGCAGGAGCAAAGGGGGGATAAAGGGTATAGGCTGTATAGCTGTAGAGTGTTGTTGAGACATCTGTCATCATGCTTTAAGAATTATGCAATTCCTTGACACTTTTAAAAATTATGATCATCCAATCATTATAATTACAGTTAAAAATAAGTTATAAGGAATAAAAGTAGTGCAAGTGTGGTGTACAAAAAGCATTTTCACTATCAATTATGCACTCTATGAGACTGTATCCGACTCTCTGCAAGACATTCCAAAGTAAATAGGATAAAGCATAATGTATCAATTAGGCACTCTTGCCACTCTATGTGACTGTCTCTGACTCTCTGCGAGACATTCCAAAGTAAATAGGATAAAGCATAAAGTTACATTCATATTCCTTATTTTCAAGCTTAGTTGAAAATATAGATTTTTCATTCTTGTATTTTCTTTGATTCGAAGGATAGATTCTTGTACATCCAAGAAGTGTCTTTGATAAACCATGTTAGTGGAGTAACAATTAACATATTTGAACACATTCAATGCTTTATAATAAATCGCAATCCCTCCCTCTCATAAGAAATTTCATTAATTCCTTTTTTGGTTGTCTCACAATAAAACTTAACTTTTTCTTTTCCCATTAAAGAAAGAGCTATGCAGGTTATATATATTTTTCTTTCTTTCATAAATAAATCGCATACACATAATTCACCTTCTCAAAGACTGCGCCTAAACCAAATTAAGGTCTCTCCAAGTAAATTTAAATCAAAATACACTTTAATACTAAATTGTAATAGTCTAACTAGGCTGAGCAGTATCCAACTGTCCACGTTACCAAAATCAACTTAAGAAATATTTAAAACAGATTAGGCAAAACCGAGAGCATCCATTGACTGAACAATATTCATGTTGCAACTGAAATCAATACTATGTGATATACACACACACACACACACACACACACACACACACTTTACCAATAGCTCTGGATTCACTTAGAACCGAAATTCAAAAAATAACTTGCCAGTTCGATTCCCTACCGGATATAGGCATCTTATGCCAGAAAGTTAACAAACATTGTCTAAGGAAAAAATAGAGCAAATTGTTGCCCTTTTTCAAAGTTAAAAATTATTCTTGCACTTTTATCTGCTCACCAAAAAAGCATGTTTTCATCTTCTATTTGTCCCAAAAAGAAAAAATTCACATTCTCCTTCAGTACAACTGTTTGTGAAACATGGCGGGGTGGCAAACAAGTTCAGGAAAAGCCCAATTGTGGTTGGTATTGAATCGGTGAAGTGTGAATTAATTTGAACTAAATAACACTCATGGGAAAAAAAAGTAGGACAGGCCAATTACATTAAAAATGCACATTAAACTTCTATTGTTTCTTACTCCCTATACAGTTTTGGGCAGCAAATGCAGCAACACATCTAGGTTCTAACAGACAGAACACATCTTGATCCACATACCACAAATGCTCAATGGATTTGAGGTTATTCTAAGTTGTTGTAGGCCAAAATGGAAAAAAATGGACAAAAACAGTGGTGACAGATTTAAACACGGAGTTTCAACTTTTCTAAGCATGTCATTCCGGTAACCATATTTTGATGAAATTCAGTCCTGTCTCTTAATCAGAATGCAACTTAGCAAAACAGTGCATCGCAATAGGAACAGAGAATTTCTCAATTTACCTGGAGAGATCTCGCCTGGTGGGGAGAGAAGAAGATACAAATCGATCAACGTTCGCCGTCTTCAAGCTAACATGTACTAGAGATAGACGGTCGATTGCTTGCCTGCATATTTGGGATTATCGCCATGAAGATAGCTTGCTGGATATCCAATCCTCTTCTTTTTTTTCGTTGAGGCTTTCTAGGTAAGAACCCTACCCCACAACGTGAAACACATGCCACTTACGGAGTACTCCTAGACTCCTAGTGAGTAAGAAATTGGAACTTTTATTGTTTGAGCTCCAGGTTCGAGTCCCCGCTGAAGCCCTGTCGGAGTTCAGAAAATTATAAACAAATACTCTGTATTACACTGTAATCGAGTCAATAGTTTTAAAAATGTTTTTTAAGCCACTACATATAAACATGTGTTAATCAAATTAGATGTGACGATGTGTCATTATTATATCTCTAGCCGTTTATTTTTATTGAATATTGAATGAATTTTGATATATATATTGGTTAATGCTAAAAACTAAAATTGCATCTTTATCTACCAGATATTGGTCGGATATCAAATAAATCAAATTGTTCCATAATAATGTCACTAAAGACACAATTATTTCCATAAACAATAGATCAAATGCCACAACACATTATTTTCATATGTAAGGTGCATAAACAATGTGCATATTATTTCTGATAATAAAGTAATAATGGCTATTATTTCCACAAATAATTATAGATCATAGATGCATACATACATACGAAAATGTTGTCTCTTTTTTATTAGTTATTTATATGATTTTTATACATTATCATTATCTCACATTATCAATTATTATTTTCAATATAAAAGTAAAATTTTATTTGTGTGTGTGTGTGTATACACTCTTAATTTTATTAGCTATATCATATTATTCCATATAATAATATAAACGCATACTAAATAAAAAATTGGAATATTGTGTTAACAGAAGTTATATTGTAAAGTGAACATTGACAATCTCATATATAATCAAACTGAAATTTTTAATATTCTAGATGATAACCGATTAAGTGCAAAAAAAAAAGAAAAATGGATTATTGTTGTCTCGATTACAATATAGTAACAAAATAAAATAAAATTGATTGCTATTTTACATAATTCATAGACTTTAAACAATATATTAAAATCTTCGAGAATATGATTGAATACACCCCCTTAATGACCACAATGAGTCAATGCTTCTGTCTCCGTCAGGTCTCGAATTGAACTCGAATGAACTTTCCTATACATTTTAGAGTGCGAACTTCCTATCACTCAAGACAAGGGAGAATTCAAATGAAAATACAATATTTTAAAGTCAAATAAAAATACATATTTGAGTATTTGTTCAATTTTAACTTTTTACTGTCAAATATTTTCAATATTTAATCTATAATTAAATACTACGTAAAATATATATTATATATTAATTATATAAAATAATATTTTAGAAATATTTTATAAAATAAATCTAATAATTTTTTTAATTATAATATTTAATATTACTTTTATTTAATTTATAATCAAAATTTGCTAATTTTAACAACAAAAACCCCTTGTGCGGATTAGAGTAATTTTACCCGTACGGTCTGGTAGGCGATCGGGTGCCACATCAATGGCCGCCGCGCTGTTCGGGAGCTATTCCCTACCGACGCTGCTTTCTTCTAATGGTAACAGTTATACTCAATCACTACTCCGGACACCAGGATGCGTATTACCTCTGCGCGGAAACAATGGCAGCTCGGGAAGCTTACGGCCCGTGGTCGTCAATGGCGACCCACCTACTTTCGTCTCCGCTCCCGGCCGCAGAATTATCGCCGGTAACTGTTCAATTTTATTACAGTGATAATTACATTTTATGCGCATTTTACATGATTGTAAGTATTTTATTGAACTGTTCTCAGTTGGGGATTTGCACGGAGACATTGATAAGGCGAGGCGGGCGTTTGAGATTGCCGGCGTCATGAGTTGTGATGGTCAGGACTTATGGATCGGTGGAGAAACAGTATGGATTTCCGACTGTTGAAGACTAGAACCTCTTGTTTACGCAGTATTTTAGTTTTAGATATGAAGTGTATATTATTCTATCAGGTGTTGGTTCAGCTCGGGGATATACTTGATCGTGGAGAAGATGAACTGGCAATCTTATCCTTGTTGAGGTCATTGGATATTCAGGCAAAAGCTCACGGTGGAGCAGTTTTCCAGGTCCTAATTTAAAATCACAAAATAAAAATCGGGTTCTTTTTAGGAATTAAGTGAGTAATTTGTTCCGGCACATTATTTGCGAAATATGATCACACACCAAAGATATGGCATTGTCATTTGTCAATGTTTGCACACACGCATCACAACTCATGTAATCCTCTGCCCACATGAGAATATGGCATTGCTAGAAATTATTGTTTTCACCAACATCTTTGACAAAAATATTTGTGCCTCTCTAGTTATTTTCTAGTACTTTGTCTCTGGATCTCTGCCTATGCTACCGTGTTTGAGCCGGGTGTCTTTTGGAAATAACCCCTCTACGTACAAATAGGGGTAAGGTCTACGTAAACACACAACATAATCTTGTGGGTTTTTACTGGGTTAGTTGTTTAGTTATTTGCTACTGTGAAATCTTTTTGAAATTTTATTGTTGGTGCTTTTACAAGTGCAAATCTGAGAACTGCTAAACCTTAAGTCCACAAGCGTATTAATCTTATTTCCTAGGCTGCTTGGAAGTTTTTTTTATTCCTTTGGAAATGATAGGTAATTGGAAATCATGAAACCATGAATGTAGAAGGGGATTTCAGATATGTTACTTCTGGGGCATTCAATGAGTGTATGGTTTTCCTCGAGTACTTGGAAGAGTATGGAGGTGACTGGGAAAAAGCCTTTCCGAATTGGTTTTCCGAGCGTGATAGGTGGAAACAGGAAAGGAATATGTCTCAAAGTTGTGGGGATAGCTTGCAATTGTTTAAGGTATGTTCTTCCCCTAATCCCTACCCCACAGATCCATAACGGAAAATGATATGATTTGCAAGTAGCTCAAAAAAACTAGTTTGAATCTTTACGTTTAATGTCCTAAACCCCACTTGTGTGCCTTTACTAGATTGTTGTGGTTTCTGCTGTTGTTGAATCTCTACATTTAATCAATGAGGGATGCTAATCTGTTAATATCCTTTATTCTTTTCTCTTTTGGATTTTCTACCATCTGAATTAGTATGTATTCAAAGTATTCAACAATTCATGAGAGTCGAGAAATATGTAACCCTTGTATTGTTGTTGTTGTCCATTCAATTGATTTTTCTTATTGTTCCCTAAATATTAGGACAGAGGCAAAAAGGTGTTAGAGCAAGATCAATCCTCCTCAGGCACGGTGGTCCATTAGCCTCCGAGTTGTCGCGTCATGGTGTGATTCTCAAAGTTAATGACTGGCTTTTTTGCCATGGTGGCACTCTTCCTCATCATGGTAAAAGTTGTATAGCATTTTTGTTGTTTTAGAATCACTTTTGAGTAGGGGTAAGCTCTGCATACACACACCCTCCCGAGATGCTACTCTTGTGGGATTCTAGTGGGTTGTTGTTGTTTTGAACAACTTTACCACTTTTATGAGTATTGCAGTTTCATATGGAATAGAGAGAATTAACCGAGAAGTGTGTCATTGGATGAGAGGTCTTGTTGATGGAGAAGAACGTCCACAGATCCCTTTCATAGCTACCAGAGGCTATGATAGTGTTGTATGGAGTCGGTTATATTCCAAGGACTACTCGGATATAGAAAACTACCAAATGAATCAGGTTGGTCTAACTTAAGGTGTAGTTTGCTTTATGTCTCTGAGACTACACCTAACTTCTCAAGCACTACGTGTAACTTTCATGTTATTTCTTGCTGTTAAGGTTAAATATTTTTTCTATTACCTTTGATGGCTGAAATTAAATCTTCACTTTCATCAGATCCAATCTATTGTTGAAGAGACACTCAAGGTCTCAGGTGCTAAAGCAATGGTTGTGGGACATACACCGCAACCCTTGGGAGTGAATTGGTATTTGCATCTTAGCTTTACCAAAAAACTATTTTATTTGAATTTAAGATCCTAGCTTTCCATATTTCATTCTAACCTGCAATTCACTAATTTGGTTGCGCTGCTACAAATGTAATTGTAGCATATGACGCTAGACTAAATGCCCTAGATGATCTATAGTCCAGTAAAAATGAAAAAAAGTCGATTAGCATACATGTTTTATGCATGTTTTAAGATGTACATGCATTTGCATTCTACTGCGACTTGCCCACTTCTTTTTCTCTTTAGGGGGCTCAATGAAGAGTGTCCTAAGGGGAAGGCAAAATGCTGAGGATTTGTTTCATATATTTGGTTTAAATTTGGACAAACTCAAACCTTTATATAACGCAACAAGAGAAACTTTTTGAATACACTTAAACAAACACCTTAGATGTTCATAACACACTTTTATAGAAACTTTCTTTTGTAACTTGTCTCAGAATTCTTTCCTAAATACGAAGTAGTCAATACTAATACGGGTCCATTTTACTTTCTGCCATGAATTTGGAATTGGAAAAGGGGATTAGAAGATATGAGGTTAGATATGATAGATGATACCTGGTATTTGGTTTGTATTCGGCAAGCAACATAGGGTTTGAGTTTCACCCCTACCCACCAACTCTTCGCTTTCTTCTATTATTTTCTCCATGCTGCTGTGGTGCGTTCTACCAGAGTCACTGCGTTGGCGCCCTCAACCACTGGCAAAAGGATGACTCTGGCAAGAGGCTTGATGCTGCCACCACCTCCTGCCAATGACTTTGTCTTTGACCAGCAAGGCATTAGAGATTGCATTCCATTGATATTTTTGGAGTCATGATGACATCAGAAATCTGCTGCTATTGTTGGCGGCTGGCAGATTGGAGATCAAATGAAGTGGGTTGATGAATATAAAATATGAGGGAATGAGTTTGAGAGGGTTTATGTAATGGGTTTTGAGAACCAATATCCGTTAACAAACAAGAAGTACTATGTGTCAGGGAATCTCATACTCATTTCTGATAGTGATACCAGAGCGAATCGAAGATGCCTTAAATAGATGCAATTGATGTTGCTCCCTTTGAATACATGAACAACAAAAGTTACCTTAGGTAATTGTAATTTTCATAGAGACAGTAGGACACAAAACAATACACCCTATTTAATGAACCATCATTAATAAAGGTGTAGAAAAATATACCAAAAAAAAAGAGATTGTGTTTTGGGTGCAAACAAACCAAGCCCAATTTGAACGTATGCATGCTCGGTAATATATACAGTACAACCGGTTGTACAGTATTTCACATACATCTGCGGCGAATACTCATTTACGAGTAACAAAGTACTTGTTTCGCATATTTCTTTCTTTCAGTTGTACATCTATTATTATTTTAGTTAAAATAAGTATTATGTTACTTATATATTGCTTATATATATATACAGTCTGTATACATGTAATGTGCATTATGTAGTTCTCAAATGAGAATACATATATTTTATAATATACATGCTTTGAAGAAATACTAAAATAAATAAATATGCGAAATAAGTATTTTGTTACTCAAAACTAAGTATTCACGTGGATGTACGGGAAACACTGTACATTCGGATTTACGGTATAGGGACTCATGCATGCCCGAGTTTGCACTCAAAATAGTTGCACTGGCTCGAGTCGAGCTTGATCATTTCATATAATTTAGGCATGAACTACTAGTTAATTTTTGAAAGTTTCAAAGGATTTTGAGAACTTGGTTTGATTGGCTCGAACATTTGTGCTCGAGTTCAAATTAGAACTCTGAAATTTTGATACTAAATCCAGTATACAATTGAAAATTTTGTATGTATTTGTGTGTCTATACATGTATATTATGCGTGTGTTTATCATGGACTTGTAATATGTTTTTATCATATTGGACTTCTTTGTGACTTTTTTGGCAACTATCAAAAAATTAGCTCCACTTTTATTAAACATGACTATTTTTGAGAAGGAAAAAGGATTTTATCCTAAGAGTCTTATTTTTGGAGGAGAGAAGCACTTGTGGAACACATTTGAGCCTGATATCCTAACTTTGCATTTATTTGTGTCATAATATGCAATTTACTAATCTTGGTTTCCTTGTAGCAAATACGATTGTCGTGTATGGTGCATTGACGTTGGAATGTCTAGCGGAGTTCTTGACTCAATGCCAGAGGTGATTGTATAACAAATTCTATTTGTCTTGAAACTCAACTCACTCGGCCATGTTTCACTCTTCAAAACCCTCAGCTACTCTCACTTTTTATGCGGTTAAGAGTTGCATCTTGACGTGTATTTGCATTTAGATCCTCAAGCTCTTGCATACACGAGTATTTATTTGTGCATGTGATATATGCCTCTTTTTTACTAGACATGGTTGGACATGTTTGGTGAAGAACGGTTTCTTTAGCATTATGCTGTTTCTTTCAGCATATTGATCCAAAATAGCATATCGACCGGTCAAAATACTACTACTATTTTTGGTGTTTGGTAAAATAACATACGGAGTATTGAATTAGCAGTATGCTTAGCAAAATGCTGATGTGATTAACATTTTGGCATTAGCATTCTACTCTTATTATTGAGTTACCAAATATATTTTTACAAATTGCTAGCTGCTAGTCAAACAGCTGTATGCTACTCCCTCCATTGACCGAGTTGACCATGATACTTCCGTTACACATCGAAAGTTGAATGATGAATGTATCTGGACAAACACCATGTCTATATTCTTTCATTTTTTCAATGTGTCAAAAAAAGTCGCAATGACTAGTTAAACGCCCGTTTTGTGTTGTTTGCCAAACACACTCATTGTACAGGTGCTTGAGATAAAGGATGATAAAGCAAGGGTGATAAGAAGTTCAGGCCATTGATGGAACATAGAGAGATATGTGGGCATATCATCAAGAAATCTCTTCAGGTTCTTCATAAACAAGCTTTTCAGAGTCTGGCTTCAATCACAATGTGGTTCCCAATTTTTTCACAGCTAGAAAATATGTTCGAATGGAACCCTTTAGTACATTTGTACTAATCGATTGATTCCATTCCATGTGAAATATACATGTTTTTTTCCCTTTCCCTTTTCCTTTATTGGTCAAAGGAATGTACCATAAACTTATTGTTATTGATTCTAGTAATTAATTGAGATTAAAGGAGTGTTTTTCAAGTTTCAAAGTACTCCATCTCGAAATTAAGTTCCACAAGTAATTTTTAACTTTTATGGCAAAGTTTGTAACTTTTTCTAATAATTTTTGACAAGTTTCAATTGCTTTCAACATAAAATATTAAACTGTTTAATAAATGAACTACCATATATTTCTTTTGTAATATTCCATAATTATATTTCTTTAAAATGACATTAACTTGTATTAAATTTTTGTTTCTTAATTATTTTATTATAAATGTTTATAAATGAGTTTATTTATATTTCATAAAATAACATACTCTCTTTGTCCCAAAATATTCACAACATATCGAATAACGTTTAAAATATCATTTTTTTAAAAAAATTATTTTATTTACAAACTGGTGGAGAAATAAAAAGTATAATACAGAAAAGTTAAATAACATGTTAAATTATTTACAATTGCACTTTATAAAAAGTTAAATAATTTAGAACACATTTTTGTTGAACGAAATTGCAAAAAATTGCTGCTAGGTACCCTCTATTTTGTGGTAAGAACTGCCAGGTACCCCTAATTTTTAAAATATACTCTCAGGTACCCCAAATTATAAAAAAATATACCAAGAGGTGATTTTCCATCCCTTCTTCATCTACCCCTCCTTTCTCCGTCAAGTATATCACCACCATCATCATCCATCATCATCATCAATCATCATCATCAACATCATTCCACTACCACCATCACAACTTCTTCGTACTTCTTCCTCCTCTTCTTCTTTTTATTTTTTCTTTTTCTTCTTCTTCTTCTATTATTATTATTATTATTATTATTATTATTATTATTATTATTATTATTATTATTATTATTATTATTATTATTATTATTATTATTATTATTATTATTACCATTATAATTGTTGTTGTTATTATTATTATTTAGTTGTTGGGCAAGGTTTCCATGACATTGCCCGGTAATGTCATGGGATGACCTGGGGCACTCCGGTGTCCCGTTCATAAAATTGACAGTTCCTACCCCGCCTAACCCCCGGTAAACCCTGCACCCTGCCCTAACCTGAACACCCCCCCTTTAATTGCACCCCTTAAATTGATTTTGACTTTGGAGTCAAATTTTGATATCAAAGTCAAAATCAATTTGTGGGGTGCAATTGAAAGGAGTGGGGGGTGTTCGGGTCGGGGCGGGGTGGGAGAGTTTATCGAAGGGGGTTAGGGGGGTAGGAACCGTCAATTTTACGAACGGGACATCGGGGTAGTAATTTTTTAGTTTTCTACTACTCCGGATATTTTTAACAAAAAAAATACTAAAGCTCCCAGCAAAAAAATTGTATACTCCATTAATCTTTCACAATCTCCATTAATGTAAAATAACAAAAAATTACTGTTTGGTACCCCTAATTTTGTACTTGAACTGTCGGGCATTTTTATAGTGAAACTATTAATTAATTTTTAATAATAATTATAATGAATAATAATAATAGAAGAAGAAGAAAATATTACTTCATAATAATAATAATAATAATAATAAATAGTAGAGGTAGAAGTAAACTATACTTCGTAATAAATAATACGAGTAATAATTAGTTTTAGTATTAAAAAATTATTAATATTAGTTTTTAATATTAACAATTATAATTTAGAAGAAGAAAATAATTCTTTGTAATAAATAATAATACGTAGTAATAATATAATAAAAATGATGGTTTTTTTTGTTAAAAAAAAAGAATGAGGGTACAATTTTTTGGTGGGAGCTTTAGTGTTTTTTTGTTAAAAATATAGTAGTAAAACAACTAAATAATAAAAATAATACTCCCTTCGTCCTAAAACTTTCTTCCCGGTTTGCAAAACGAAGAAAAATCCTAAGTTTTTCAATCTATTTTATTTAAATATTGGTATATAACTAAAAATAAAACATACATAATAATAATAATAATAATAATAATAATAATAATAATAATAATAATAGTAGTAGTAGTAGAAGAAGGAGAAGAAGAAGAAATAAGGGTGAGTGATGGGGGCGGGGTGTAGAAGATTGAAAGTTGAAAGGGGGGAGGAGGAGAGAAGAAGAAGAAAGAAGAAGAAGAAGAAGAAGAAATAAAAAAAAGAAGAGGAGGAAGTACGAAGATGGGATGGTGTAGTGGAATGATGATGATGATGATTGATGATGATGGATGATGATGATGGTTGTATTTAACGGGGAAAGGAAGGATAGATGGAGAATGGATGGAAAATCACCTCTTGGTATATTTTTTTATAATTTGGGGTACCTGAGAGTATATTTTAAAAATTACGGGTACCTGGCAGTTCTTACCACGAAATTGCTTAAGTTAACGATGTTGTGTGATTCTCCTTTTTGCTGGTTTTGCAGCAAATCACAAAAAATTAGCAATAAAATTAACATTAATAAATATGCGTACATTACTTTTATGCTCTATATTCAAAGTCTATACAAAAAATAAATGTATGAAATGAGCAAGGTGTAATTTGTAAATATACATATGAATACTATACAACAATATCATATATCCAAATTTATGCATTCAAAAAAATATATCCAAATTTATAATATATGACCTCACAAACCTGGACAAAAATAAATTATTACTCCGTATTTTAAGTTGTTGATTGAGTAGAAAACGTTTGATTATTTATGTCAATTTTCAACCTATTCTTTATCTTTAATATTTTATGCATGATCAACCACAAAATAAATTGGTGCTTTGGGTGTGTACCCTTATTCCAAGAGTGTAGCTACCTTTTACATCCATCTCTTTAAATTCACTCTACCGGCATATGACAAATGTTTACTACTCCAGGTAGTAATTCTAGGTTTAATTTTATCAATTAAGATTTTGCATTATGATTTTTTAACTCTATTAACAGTGACTGAAATACCAAGATTAGTGAAAGGTAGATTTCCTCTCTTCATACATATTTTTTGTAGCATCTGATTTGTCATATTCTCATCTCCATTCCAAACACAATTTGAGATTTTTGAGGATTAATCTGAAATCTAGTGGTGGCATAGAAATGCTTGAGACACTCCATAAAATAACGTGATTTCCTTGACACTGGACAACAGTGTTCATTAGATTTTCGAATGAAGTGTTCCAAAAAACCCTTTCCAATAGATTCCTTCCTTATAGTTTAAATAGTTTAAAATGGAAATATCCTCACTTTAAATAGCGTTCCCATGATATTGGATTCTAATGTCATGAATGACTCGGGGGCGCTCCGGTGTCCCGTTCGTAAAATTAACGGTTACTACCCCACACCCCCACGATAAACCCCGCCACGCCGTCCCGACTCGAATACACCCCTGCCCCGTCAATTGCATCCCAGAATGACATTAGAACCCATACACAAAATATTTGTTACCTCGCTGGAGTCGGGGCTATAGAGACCGGAGGCCTCCACCATATATGCATGGTTTCCTCCGCCACCGTTCCACTCCTCTTCTTCTTCATCACAGTTCATCTTCCTCGCTAGCTCACTCGTACTCCTCCACCATGAGCGCTTCGTCTCTCGTGCTTCCCACGCTTCCCATCATCAACTCTGATCGCACCTCTCTGGAGTCCCTCCGGAGCTCAACCCGTCTGGGCCTTAGGAATGGGACTCGCCGGGGATTTGTACCATTGGATTATGGTAAGTCTAGGGTTTCTATGAGTGCCTCTGTTGGATCTCACACCGATGCGGATGATTCCCTGTTCAAGGATTATAAGCCCTCCCTTGCATTTCTCTTCCCTGGACAGGTGCGATTTCCTCAGTTTCTACCGCATTGCAATTTCAATTCGATCTAGGATCTGCTTTTAGCGCTAATTCAGTGCAATATGGTATCTGATAGCTTTGGGATTTCGATAATGTGATGGATTGCATTTCCATTGAATTTTGCAGCTAACGATATGAAGTAGAACCTCAAAATGAATGATCTTTATGCCATTTCTTTTCATTTGTACCAAAAAAGAAATTGTGATTTTTGTATGTTCTTTTATTCCTGAATAAATGTCAACACCAAATTTACTTTCTTAAACATCTTTAAGCAAGCAACTGGAAAATTGATTTATTTGTGGCATTTGGTTGGGATCGTGTGTCACTGTTGCGTCTGGGCTCAGCCCCTCAGGTTGCTTGTTGTCCAGATTCTGGTCTCAGTGTGCACTACCACCACCTGGAACTATGGTGTGCCAACCACATTAAAGCCCAAAACATACCTCCTACACTCTCACTAGTCTGATCCTTAAGAGGGAGTCACAAAGGGCAAAGAAGCCAAATACTTTGGGAGAGACATATGAACGCACACGGCACACAATAAATCCACTAAGGGTGACACTCAGCCACAAAGACTCTCAACTGCGCGAGCCACTAAGGCTTAGTATACACATGGTATGGTCAGTGTTAGCGGGTATTTTATTTGTAAAATGGGCTTGAAGTAAATACTTGGGTGCTATACTGGGTCTGGATTGCTCTGATACCATGTAGTTTCTTACCGTAAAATTGTTCTGCGTATTTTTCGTCATCAACCGGTATATATACAAGTGTACTTCAAGACCTGGTCTGGGCCCAACTATTTACTTCAAGCCCATTTTACAAATAAAATACCCGCTAATTGTTGGGTTCTTAGGACACTTGTGCGCACATTCAGCCATTCAGGAAACCACACACAATGGGTTATATATAGGTAGAAATCCTTTTAGGGTTGGGAGTAAGCTGCTAGAGTTGGGTTGGGCTGTTAAATGTTGGCCAACAAAATTCTGCTAACAAAAAATTAACATAATGTGGATGAGGCAACAAACTTTTTACTGGTCATAGACCTATAGGAACAATCAAGGATAACAGAATTTAACTGATGACCCTAAGAAGTGAGTAGTTTAATCTCCAGGGTTCTCTAATTGATTGAAAATGGAAAATATTTATCTTTGGATGTTCAGTTTGCTGATTTTTTCTGCTCCTCTCTTAGATGAGGGAAAGAGGCTTTTGAATTTTCTTGACCTTTGGCCAAACTGAATTAACATGTGTTTTTGTTTAAATGGAGATGGTAAATTAAGAACTGTATAAAGTGTTCATTTCTCCGGAAGCCAAAAAATTTTGCTTTTGCTTAATGTTGCTTGTTTAGACTCATAGCGCTATTTCTGCTAATTACTCTCCTATCTTCACTTTAATATTTAGGGTGCCCAAGCGGTGGGAATGGGCATAGAGGCACATAAAGTACCAGCCGCTGCTGAATTATACAAAAGAGCAAATGAGATTTTGGGGTACATACTACATAGATTGGAAATGTTCTTTGTAAACATGAGCTGATTGCCATGTTTGCAGCTTGTATTTAATGGTTGGTGGTTGTTTTATATCTTAAAATTAATTATATAATAGTGTTTTTAAACTTTATCAGGTTTGACCTTTTGGATATATGTATGAATGGACCAAAAGACAAGCTTGATTCTACTGTAATTAGTCAGGTATGAGTTTTCCGGTCTTTTTTTAACCTGCACACGCAGAAGTTCCTCCAACTAGTTGTGTATGTATGACCTCCATTTATTTAATATTCTCCCATACAGCCAGCTATATATGTTACAAGCTTAGCAGCCGTGGAGATACTCCGAGCCCGTGAAGGAGGTCAGCAAATAATTGATTCCGTTGATGTCACATGTGGTCTAAGCCTTGGAGAATACACTGCTCTTGCATTTGCAGGAGCTTTCAGGTGGGTTACCATGCTGCATGATGGAAAGTGGCCTACCTCAGCTAAATTACACACACACACACACCCCCCCCAAAAAAAAATCTCTTTGAGTTGTCCCAAATAAATTTCACCATTTTCATTCAAGAAAGGAATCCGTAGTTTATTTTTTAAAATTTTTTTTAAAGATAAATCTTAGTTACACATCCGTGCAAAAGCAAAGGTGGTCCTTATTTAGGGGCGAGTACAAAATAACAAAACACCATGCAAGTTGCAAGATTTTTGGTACTCTGATGAGGCTGATTTTCTAGAATGGAACTCCAAGATTTAATACTATACGAGACATATTGTTTACTACATGTAAATATTGAAATAATGCATGGATTACTCATTGTAACTGACCTGATGACATTTTCTTTCATAGCTTTGAGGATGGCCTCAAGCTAGTAAAATTAAGAGGGGAAGCCATGCAGGTAATGCTGATAGAATAACTAATTTTCTATGATTGCATATCACACAATTATGAAAACATTTTGAATTGCCATCATCATCAGGACGCTTCTGATGCTGCCAAAAGCGCAATGGTCAGTATCATTGGGCTTGACTCTGAGAAGGTTCAACAACTGTGTGATGCAGCCAATGAAGAAGTTGATGAAGCCGACCGAGTTCAGATTGCAAATTTCTTATGCCCTGTAGGGCTCTTTATTACTCACCCTGATTACTTTTATGATCTTAGTATGTTCTCTACTATCCCGTGGAACTAGTGGCTTGTAATCAAACTTGATAGCATTGATTTCTTTTAGGGTAATTACGCCGTCTCTGGAGGTCTGAAAGGAGTGGAAGTAGTACAGGCAAAGGCAAAGTCATTCAAAGCTCGAATGGCGGTATTTCCTAATTACATGCTCATTTCATCTTGTGTTATGAACTCATATTGGCTGTTATGTAGACTTTTTTTTTGCTTATTAGCTTTATCCGCCATTTCATTTTACTAAAAAGAAATAATGTATTTCATTACAAGTGCCAAAATGGTTAATAATAATAATAATAAAAGGACCATGGCTACATAATTTTTTGGCTATAGTTGCCCTCTTGCCGAATAAAGTAATCACTTTTGCTACTTTAATTGATTTTTTCTCTCTTTTATCTACGGCATGTTTTAATTTCTTCTTTGGTTTTCCCCACAATGCAACATTTTCAGAAACTTTAACAATTTCATCCAAATTCACCCTACTAACCAAATGGGCTCATAGTCATTCCTTATATATGGTTTGTTTTGTCAGGTGCGATTGGCTGTTGCTGGTGCTTTCCACACTGGTTTTATGGAGCCAGCTGTCCCAAGATTGGAAGCCGCTTTGGCAGAAGCAGAAATCAGAACTCCAAGAATACCTGTAATTTCAAATGTTGATGCAGAGCCACATTCAGATCCAGAGACGATTAAGAGAATATTGGCACGCCAGGTAAAGAAAGTGAATTGCTTATCTCAAGCATAAAGTTTGATGAAAATAACAGGCTTTGGTTTTGTAACCTACAAGGTAACTTCCCCAGTTCAATGGGAGACAACAATAAGGACTCTTCTAACAAAAGGGCTCAACAAGAGCTACGAATTAGGACCCGGGAAGGTGATGATTTTCTTTTTTAACAAAGAAACTCAAATGTTTACCTTTTATATAGCTAATTAGGACTTGTTTTCTCATGTCATGTGCTTGTTTTTGGTTCTTTTGTAAAAGGTTATTGCCGGCATTCTGAAGAGGATGGACAAGGGTGCCAACATTGAGAACGTTGGTGCCTAAGCCTAAATAAATTGTTGTTCATTAACTATCCCCTCCATCAAGGGCAGAGATTCATTTTTTTTAAATTTTTAAATTATTGGGTTTTTTTTGGGTTGGGGGGGGGGGGGGGGGGGGGG